AAGAATTGCTCTTTCTTGAAGGTATTTTATATCTGTGAAATGTCTCAAGAAATCAGAATATGTCCTTTTTACAATTCCAGATATTGGATCATCACAATTATGTATGAGAAGATCGTCGGGTATTTCTACTTTCTCAATGCCATCAATGGAACATCCAATCTTTCCATCACCTATTGCCAAGATCCAATTAGAAAATTATTTTAAATCATCCAAATCTGCATCAGATCTATTTTCTTGCAATCTCATATTTGTTGTTAGCTTTAAAACCTGACAGTGGGGCCACAAATATGAAGAATTTAGAGTTGTTGTAACAATCTCTTGCCTAGTACCTTTTTGTAATTACAAGCAAGATTTGTCTAAAGTCACCTCCAAGAACAATTGTTTTACCTCCAAATGGCCGATCTAAATTTGACGGATCTTTAAATCTTAGAATATCTCTAAGAGTTTGATCAAGAGCTTCAAAACAGTATTTATGCATTGATGCCTCATCCCAAATGATCAATTTTGCCTTCACAATCAACTTTGCTAAAGGACTACCTTGTTTTATATTGCATGTTGAATCTTCAGTTGGATTTAGAGGGATCGCAAATCTTGAATGTGCAGTTTGACCTCCTGGTAACAAAAGAGAAGCAATACCACTTGAAGCAACATTTATCACTATATCGCCTTTAGATCGTACGCCAGAAGACAATGTTTTCCAGATAAAAGTTTTGTCAGTTCCTCCATGACCATATAAAAAGAATAACCCTCATTTGTCTTCATTCACTGCAGATATGATTTTATCATAAACAGACTTCTGCTCGACTGTTAATTTCATTACTAATTGTTCATGCTCTTGTGTCAAAGAGCGCCTATTATAGCGCAATTCCTCATTAATTAGTCTGTTAGCACCATCAAATTCTTCCTCATTGTAATATGGTCTTGGCATTGTCGGAAAATCGTTAAAGCTTTTTCCACAACTTTTTAAAATCTTGTCCAGCTTTTTCAAGCAACGATTTTTCAATTCATCATCTGTTAACTCTGCCGCTGCATGACATAAAAATGTTAAAGTTCAAAATAAAATATATACTCATATTTAAAACTCAACCATGTAGTTTTATGTANGCTTTTGCATACAGATCATTAATTTGTTATAGAATAACATGTCTAAGCATAAATCTGGAGTACTATTTTAGTTCTTTTAACTACATGTATTACAATAACTCAAAAGAAAGAGCTGAAATTTGTGATGTCGTTTAGAACATATAAAAACAAAATGTAGCGAGAAAAAATCGGTA